AAGAAGCTTTTTCTATGTTCTCTCTTCTCATGAAGACACATCATCTTCCACCTCATTGCCACATCATTTTGTATTTACAATTTCTTATTTTCAATTCAAAACTTTTATATACACATTAATTATACATTTGTTTAACATATTGAATTATATAAGGAATTTGAAAGGTCATTTCTCATATTTAAATCTGAAATTTTATATTAATATAGTTATTACAATTGTAATATGTTTACTTGAAGGGAAGATAATAAAAGTTATGTCGTATTATGTAAATAATGTGAAAAGATATGGTGTAATTAATATTTAACCTAGAGTTTTATTATATTTATTGTTATTTAAACTTATATTTCGTATTCTCTCTCCATCCAGGAGATCATCAACCGAATCCCACGTGACGATCACACAGGTAATTTGTACAACATTGCAGATGCTATACCGGTTTTCGAGGGAATTGGTACCGTTTTGGCAACATTTGTTCCTCTCACGTTCCGCGTCAGTTTGTATGCATCTGGTCTTCCTGAAGTAATAAATGAATTTTTCTTTGTATTGGCTCACTTTTTTACTGAAATCATTTTTTTACAGAGACCGAAAAAAACTTAAACTCTGTAAAGTCTTAACATCTTGCAAAGATTTTTTCTTTTTTTTTAAATAACGAATTGAGAAAAGGATTTTACCAAAAAAAAAATAGAGAAAAGGAGCTATCAAATTGAATGGTGAAATAAATAATTGTAATCTTGACTTATAAGATTATTATCCATCTACATCTACGGTCACCATTCTCACTAGTAACTTGGCCACCTTGTGTTGAATCATGAATGCACATTCAAACACATGAATCATGCTTAGTATTTAGAAGTAAATGTGTCTGTATTAGTTGTTCAAAGACATTCACATGATAGCTTTTGTAGCTGATTTAAATTTCTTTCGCATTTATGGATATTTAAATCCAAAAACAGAACCGGATACAGTATGGTAGTTTAATCAAAATTCAAGATATATAAACTTGTACGTTTCACATGTGAAATACACGGAAAATCAAAGATGGTTTGATTAACCGGAACTAGACGGTAAACCAGAACTAAATTATTCGGGTCAGCGACATATTTTATATCAAGAACAGAGTTTTAGCAACTATGGCTAGTCTTCAAGGCTTGGTCTCTTTGCGAATAATCCGAGACATGACATTGCAAGCCCGAAAACCGCGAAAGTGAGCGACGGAACATTTGTTCCAATCGAAGCAACGTTTGGACAACAAACTCCTCCAAGTACAAGCGCTTGTCTGAGCATCGTTGTGGCAAAATTCCTCACGCATGTTGGGAACAACTCAACCATATAAACCGCCATCAAATTGAATCCAATCCTCGCGCAGAAGAAAGAAGCAAGTTCGATAGCAAAAGCAATGTTTGTTCTTCCGAAAAGGCTTAGGACGAAACAGAACACTCCTGCTGCTCCTCCGATTAAACAATTCACAAGAACAGTGCTTCTTCTGCTAAATTTCTCAAGCAAGATCGGTGTGATAACAAATGTAGGTAGCTCTACCATTGCGTTTAAGGCTTCGCTCAAATAGATGTTCACTTTGATGTCCCTAACCGCTAATGGAACTCCGTAATACGACATTCCCAACCCAAACATTATGATCATAACAACCTTCGAAAAGCCCATTTTCGGATAAACAACTCCTTGATCGAGGAGCTTGGATCTTGTTCTAGGTTTTCTTTTGGAGGTAACCTAGAAAACACTGATTTCAAGTAAGCACTCTTTGCGGGTGAAATCTTTTTAAGCACTTCAATGGCTTCTTCGTTCTTTCCTTCCAAATGAAGCCAACGAGGAGACTCTAAGGCGAAGAAGTAGATGAAAATACTATGAACAGCCGCAGGAAGGGATGTGCAGAGATAGAGAACTCTCACGGAATCATGATAGCCCTAGGTCTCCATTTCGTGGAAATCTGCTCACTGATCAGAACTAACGCATACGTCCCGGTCTGAGAACACGCGAATCCGATAACGAACTTTAAGAAAGCGTAGATCCATATGTTGGAAGAGAAGAAAATCGAGATTCCAGTGAGTGACATTGCTAAAGTAGTGAAGAAAAGAAGTTGCTTCCGTCCCAAGAAACCATCTGGAATCATAGCCAAGAAAACACCTCCAACGATAGAACCAATATAAAACGTTGAAGTAGGGAGACCTCTAAGATAATGAGCTCGAGCACTCCAGCTCGAACTCTGAAATGACAGATTTACCCTTAAAACCACTTTCCCAATCCCAAGCTGCCCGTGGAATCTTACAGATATCGGTGGTTGTCGGATTACAAATCGTGTGGTCGATACAGTGCCACGTGGGATATGCATCTGTGAAGACGGTGATGAATATTTGTTGCGAATCGAACGTTAAAGCAAGACCAACAAGAAGTATCTGTAAAAACTGTGAGAATCCGAAATCAGACAAGCTCTGTTCGATGATCTTGTCGAACGTCAAAGGTGAAGAAGATGTATCTTCTTCATCTTCAAGGTGGGTCAACAATGGAGTTGAATAATCCACCATTGTTGCTTACTTCAATCGATATTTTTCTGAGAATGTGAGATTTATTACTTCAAAGATGAAAGATTCCACTAGCACTACTTGGAAACTGGAAAGTTATATAACCTGGAATCTGAATTGGTGTACGAAGAATAATCAAATCTCGCATTTAATGTGTGGTAAGATGGTGATCTTTAATGATTACATATTTGTATGTATAGAAACATGATTGAATTAGTGTCTG